CCAATTTTGTTTAAGGTGATGAAGGACTGGTAGAAGAAGAATTTTCCCACAATGATATGAGTTGAGCTGATGAAATTGGGTGAAAACATCTCATCTACAAAAGAGGGGTTTATACTAGAATATAGAATAAAATATTTTGACACTCTAGATGATGAACTTATTTTTCAAACGAATCTAATCGTAGCTTGGATCTAAACTGGTCGCTATTTCAGAATTTATTGATTTTAAATCCAATCAAATTTTCGTAATTTCGTCAAGAAGTGATTATATAACTACCCTTAACTATAAATCTGTCTTTAAGGTGTGGGAAAGAGGGCGAGTAACAGATGGCCCGATGGACTTCTTTAAAATCAAGTCTTTATTGGAGACTTCATTTCGAGCAGAAAGAAAATGCTAATCAAATATACATTTGCAATGCTGTTTGGTTTAATGAGGATAGATGTTTATCTTGATAATTCGGTGAAGCTTAATTCAGCTTGTGACTGACGATTTTCAGGATGACCTAGTGCAAAACCATAAATATCTGCTTGCAAATGCAACAAGGGATGAAGGGTATTTAGGAATACGAGAAAGATTAGAGTTTCTTAAATAAATGCATATTCTTGGTATTTAGCCGTGGTTGACTCTGTGATAAGATTTATTCTTATATGTGAATATAAAAAACGTTTTTAAGATAAAACCGAGCTTAGACGGAGAATTACATGTTTTATAAGTTAAAAGGCATCCTACCTGAATTGATTTGATTCTCATCGAGGTCTCTAGAGTTAGATGTATCCAGGGGAAGTGGCAACGGCAATAGAGCAAAGCCCTCAATGCGAATAAGAAACTGACCGATTTCTGGATTAGTGAAAAGAATTGCAGCTTGTCTGGGGCAAGAGGACATAGTAAAAGGCAGGTATAAAACCTGAAGGCGATGTGAGGAACCTTCATTCTCTGCCTCTTTGGCCACAGCTTCTTGGTGATCGGAAAGATTGTCAGCATCATTTGTTGCCTGTGCCTGGTTACCTTTCGACTTATTGCAGGGAGCAAGTGGAACTGATAAGTCTATCTTACTGCAAGGACAACTAAATTCACGAAGCAGGCGGTTCCAAAAGCTCGTAGGATTTGTAGGAATGTCTACAAATTAAGCATACGCAAAATTAGTAAAAATATAGATTACGTGTACGTACAAGTAGAAACAAAATTGACAATTTAGCTCTAACATATATATGGAAAACTTCTTACCTAGTTGGGATAAATGAATACGTTATATTTTATCTCCAACATACTTCTACATATAAAATGTCATTAGTAAGTAGTTGGAATTATAGCATAGTGGTTAACGTGTCGAGATTACACGCTGCACTGTCATGGTTCAACTTATGCTGTGGATGTTGGTACAGCCTAGGCGAGGTCGAAACGGTAGTCCATCCTGGATGAAAACACCTTTTGGGAAAACATAGCTATGTGAAACTCAGTGGAAACGTCAGCTCTACTCATATCATTGTGGGAAAATTCTACTACCAGTCCTTCATCACCTTGATCGAAATAGAATGAACACAATTAATACAAATAAAATTTCATTTGCTGTAGAGTCTCAATAAAGAGTTTGGCTTTAAAAGGAGAAGAATAAGATATTAAGCGTTAGACCTTTCTGTGAAGATGCTAGCTATTCATACGAAAACACCCGTTCGATGGTTAGATAATGCAAGAGAACACGAATGCAATTGGGGGAAAGCGGAGCAGAGGAAGTTCTTAGAAGTTTATCTGTAACCGGAGCTATTTTGTGAAGACAAGCACAAACAAACTCAATAAGCTCTATTCTTTACATTATTAGTCTTCAATACTTTGATGCAGTAGTGCAGAGATTAAGAACAAGATTTCTTACCTAACAAGACAATCAAAAATAGAACACAATTAACAACAATGTACAAATTGACACAGAAATATAGAGAAAAACTTCAGGCAATGCATTCCTACCTAAAGCAACCACCTAATCATTTTTATTTTCTGTCTACATCAACATAAGTGAAATCAAATAACGAGCAGTTTAGGTTTTCACTCGAAATCATTTGCCTTACTTTGCGAAAATTCTTAACCCTTACAAAATGTAGGAGGTCGAAATTTGATGGTGAGGCAGGATGGGCATTGGCTCAAGAATAACTTGACGAATAACTCCAGTCTAATACTTCCGAAATATAAACGCATTCTATTATTTACTTGCGTAAATACATAAAAATTATGACTTGGATACACCAGATATCAGGTAACACAAGCACATTATGGCCAAAATGTTATGTAAGAAGTCTAGCATAAGCTAAATATTTGTGACTAAAATAAATAATAAAAACTACCCTAAATGCACTAAAAATTTAATGCCGAGACAG